CATCATTCCTTGTTTCTATTCACTACCCACCTCCAAACGTCATCCCTTGTCTCCACCCCCTACCCACCTCTGCACACCATCCCTTGTTTCCACCCCATATCCACCTCCAAACATCATCCCTTGTCCCCTTCATGTAAAAGCAACTGAGCCACCCAGATTGCTTTTATATAAGGTGGAAGGGGGGTCCCACCACTTTCCCAGGCTCCTCGGTTAAACAGGAGAACCAGAGAAGATGGTGGAAGATGGCGGGAGGGGAGGGACCCCCTTCCACTTCATGTAAAATCAATCCAGCAGCAATTGATCCACCTGGATTACTTTTACATAAGGTGGAAGGGGGTCCCACCACCTCCCCAGGCTCCTTGGTTGAATGGGAGAACCAGAAAAGGTGGAGGAAGGTGGTGGGAGGGTCCCCCTTCCATTTCATGTAAAAGCAATCCATCAGCAATTGAGCCACCCAGATTGCTTTTATATAAGGTGGATGGGGGTCCCACCACCTTCCCAGGCTCCTTGGTTGAATGGGAGAATCAGAGAAGATGGTGGAAGATGGCGGAAGGGGAGGGACCCTCTTCCACTTCAGGTAAAATCAATCCAGCAGCAACTGAGGCACCCAGATTGCTTTTACATAAGATGGAAGGGGGTCCGACCACCTTCCCAGGCTCCTCGGTTGAACGGCAGAACCAGAGAAGGAGGAGGAAGGTGGTGGGAGGGGAGGGACACCCGTCCACTTCATGTAAAATCAATCCAGCAGCAATTGAGCCACCCAGATTGCTTTTACATAAGGTGGAAGGTGGTCCCACCACCTTTCCAGGCTCCTCGGTTGAACAGCAGAACCAGAGAAGGCGAAGGAAGGTGGTGGGAGGTGAGGGACCCCCTTCCACTTCATGTAAAATCAATCCAGCAGAAATTGAGACACCCAGATTGCTTTTATATAAGGTTAAAGGGTCCCACCACCTTCCCAGGCTCCTTAGGTGAACGGGAGAACCAGAGAAGATGGTGGAAGATGGCGGAGGGTGGTGGGAGGGGAGGGACCCCCTTCCACTTTCATGAAAAGGCAATCCAGCAGCAATTGAGCCCCCAGGATTGCTTTTACATAAGGTGGAAGGGGGGTCCCACCACCTTTTGCCTCCATCCCAGACTCCCCTGGAGAACCAGAGAAGATGGCGGAAGGTGGTAAGAGGGGAGGGAAGGCCAATGCATGCGTAGGTCGCAAAAGCATATGTAAATGGTATTTACAGCATACATGTGAGGTATTCCTGTAAATGATGACTTCATAGCTTCAAGGGACACTGACCCGGGACAAGCATGCTGCAAGTGAAGCCAGAAAAGTACATAAGCCAGAGCATTGGCAATGCAGCCAGGAATCTAGCATTTTCAGGAGGAGATCAGCAGCAGCAGCCCTCATATTTCTCTCATGTTTTATTTATGCGATTTGTGCCGAATCACCATCTTTGACCCTCTTCATCTAAAACTACGACAAACACTAGAAGGAAAGAGGGACTCGTCCTGTATTATGACGTCATATTGGAGGGGGATGGGGACTCCTTAAAACATCCTCATTCATTTTATCTGTAACCAGCATTTCATAATGACCCATTCCACCCATTGTTAGCCGCAAACTATTTCAAGGGGCGGTAATTAATTCTTCAACGTTCCCTATGTCGGTGGCATACGCTCCGCCGCCCCGCGCTGAGATGATTAGGAATTATCTTTCAGGATATATGATAGGACGAGTCTGACGATTGCGGAGAATGAAGGAATTGCCGAATATCCGGGGACCCTCCTATCAGTCATCTTCGGGGATTTGGAGTGAAATAATTGGCTGACATTGCAAGGAGCTGTTTTTCAGCATTTTCCCGGATCTTCAGGAGTCAGCCGGCCCCACAGAGACGGACGGGGAGAAGAACGGCCATTTATGGCTGCAAACTTGCTACATTGAGAAATTCAGCCACCCACTGTCTGTAATCACCTTCAGAGTCAATATTTGGTGCCAAAATAGCCATAAAAACTTCTTGGTTCAACCAGATGGGGGCGCTCTGCTCGGTCATTCTGAGAGATGAACAAAAAGTAGAGTTACAAAAGTAGAGTTACCCTTTAGGTACTAATTGTCATAAATCACACTTCGTATCCTATAGATTATACATCGGAGTTTAAGCATCCCCTGCAATAGAAATTTCAGTTTTGGTGAGACACTCCCCGAGGGGTAAAGACTTCTAAAGGGATGCAGACCCCGCCACTTTCCTCATCAGAACACTAATAGTGCACCAGGTGATCATAATGAACCTGACCCTCCCATTCAGAATCAGTCTGCACAGGACGAGGGGGAACAAACAGATATTTCTTCAGAGCAACAAAAGGGAGGGATCTGCTACAGTGCAACTTATAACGCACAAGTGAAGGATAGAACACCAACATGTCCGAAAAAAAAAATCAAAAACAGAATCATCGATCACACTAATATCCTGTGAGCTGTCGATCAGAAAATTATTTTCAAGAAACCTTGAAACAGCCTTAAAATATTTTCAAAGGTTCCTCAAGCATTAAAAGGTTAAGGAAGGCGACTATATTATTCCAAAAAGGTTTTTTCCAAAATACATCAGAATACAATACAACAGGTTAGCATGCTCACCTTCCATTCGTTCCCCTATTTTCCGGCTGGAGTGAATTGAACAAGCCCGGTGTGGGTTTCAAGTCTGGTTGGAGTACGTAGACAGGGCCAAGCGTTCCTCCAACATGTAGGTGGCGCTGTTACAAGTGGAGAGGAGTTTGTTAAAAGAATTGTCCTTTTATAGGCTTTTGCTCAGGGAAGACAGCTCTCTGATTGGACACTGGAGTATCTCTACATCTAAGGTGGCCATGTTGATGTGGGACCTGATCAATAGGGTCTCCGGTGACAACTGGGCGCAGGTGGAGTGAGTAGTAGGTCAGGAACAGATACCCTCTGCTTAGGGACAGAGATTAGTGCAGGGTAGGGTTCCTGAAGAGAAGAGAGGGAATAGAGGGAACTCCTGTAGTGTGAAGGACTGTCTGTACACAGGGGTAGAGGATAAATGAACCCGAGAATAAAAATGTCATGTTTTGCATCTTATTAGTCCTGAGCTGTGGTGGTGGCAAAGAACATTTTCAGGAAGTACAGAAAACAACCATTGATCCTGTTAAAAAATGTTGTGACTTTGTCACTTCTTTATAATTGAACTGAAAACAAATGTTATCTTTCTTCAAAGCTTTTTGTAAAATACCCCACCACCTTCCCCTACTTCTGCTTTCCCCTTCTGCCACCTTCTCCTACCGCTGCCTTCTCCTACTTCCACCTTCCTCTAATGCTGCCTTCACCTACTGCCGCCTTTCCCGACTGCCACTTTCCCCTGCTGCTGTCTTCTCCTACTGCCGCCTTCTTCTACTGCCACCTTCTCCTGCTGCCACCTTCCCCTACTGCCACCTTCCCCTACTGCTGCCTTCCTCTACTGCCACCTTCCCCTACCGCCCCCTTCCCCTACTGCTGCCTTCCCCTACCGCCGCCTTCCCCTACTGCCACCTTCCCCTACCGCCGCCTTCCCCTACTTCCACCTTCCCCTACTGCCACCTTCCCCTACTGCCACCTTCCCCTACCGCCGCCTACCCCTACTGCCACCTTCCTCTACTGCCAACATTCCTCTAATGCTGCCTTCACATACTGCCGTCTTTCCCGACTGCCACTTTCCCCTGCTGCTGTCTTCTCCTACTGCCGCCTTCCCCTACCGCCACCTTCCCCTACTGCCGCCTTCCCCTACCACCACCTTCCCCAACTTCCACCTTCCTCTAATGCAGCCTTCACCTACTGCCGCCTTTCCCGACTGCCACTTTCCCCTGCTGCTGTCTTCTCCTACTGCCGCCTTCTACTGCCACCTTCTCCTGCTGCTACCTTCCCCTACTGTCACCTTCTCCTACTGCCACCTTCCCATACTGCTGCCTTCCTCTACCGCCACCTTCCCCTACCGCCACCTTCCCCTACTGCTGCCTTCCTCTACCGCCATCTTCCCCTACCGCCACCTTCCCCTACTGCTGCCTTCCCCTACCTGCCGCCTTCCCCTACTGCCACCTTCCCCTACCGCCGCCATCCCCTACTTCCACCTTCCCCTACTGCCACCTTCCCCTACTGCCACCTTCCCCTACTGCCGCCTACCCCTACTGCCACCTTCCTCTACTGCCACCTTCCTCTAATGCTGCCTTCACATACTGCCATCTTTCCCGACTGCCACTTTCCCCTGCTGCTGTCTTCTCCTACTGCCGCCTTCCCCTACCACCGCCTTCCCTTACTTCCACCTTCCTCTGCTGCCATCTTCTCCTACTGCCACCTTCCCCCACTGCCACCTTCCCCTGCTGCCATCTTCCCCTGCTGCTATCTTCTCCTACTGCCACCTTCCCCAACCACCTCCTTCTCCTACTGACGCCTTCTCCTACTACCGCCTTTCCCAACTGCCACTTTATCCTCTCCCCTACTGCTGCCTTCCCTGACTTTTGCTATCCTTGCTTGCCACCTTCTCGTACTATCGCCTTCCCTTACTACCGCCTTCTAACGCTGCCTTCTCCTACTGCTGCCACTCCTGCCACCACCTTTCCCAACTGCCACCTCCCCCAACTGCTGGACTCCCCTATTGCCTCCTTCTCTGCCTGCTGCCTTCTCTGATTGCCACCTTGCCCTGCTGTCATCTTCTCCCACTGCTGCCTTTTCTGACTGCCACTTTCCCCTGCTGCTGCAGTAGATACTGTTTAAGGCAGATTTTCTCAAAAAATTTTCCCCAGAGGAACCCTCATAATAGTTTTCAGGTCTCTTGGGAATCCCTGCTAAGATTAATCTATCGGAGATCATTCAGAAAATGCCCCTTTTGTGGGTGGTCAGTGGGAAGAATGTCCCTTTTGTGGGTGGTCAGTGGGAAGAATGTCCCTTACATTGGGGGTCAGTGGGAAGAATGTCCCTTACATTGGAGGTCAGTGGGAAGAATGTCCCTTTCATTGGGGGTCAGTGGGAAGAATGTCCCTTACATTGGGGGTCAGTGGGAAGAATGTCCCTTACATTGGGGGTCAGTGGGAAGAATGTCCCTTACATTGGGGGGTCAGTGGGAAGAATGTCCCTTACATTGGTGGTCAGTGGGAAGAATGTCCCTTACATTGGGGGTCAGTGGGAAGAATGTCCCTTACATTGGTGGTCAGTGGGAAGAATGTCCCTTACATTGGGGGTCAGTGGGAAGAATGTCCCTTACATTGGGGGTCAGTGGGAAGAATGTCCCTTACATTGGTGGTCAGTGGGAAGAATGTCCCTTACATTGGGGGTCAATGTCAAGAATGTCCCTTACATTGGAGGTCAGTGGGAAGAATGTCCCTTACATTGGGGGTCAGTGGGAAGAATGTCCCTTACATTGGTGGTCAGTGGGCAGAATGTCCCTTACATTGGTGGTCAGTGGGAAGAATGTCCCTTACATTGGTGGTCAGTGGGAAGAATGTCCCTTACATTGGGGGTCAGTGGGAAGAATGTCCCTTACATTGGGGGTCAGTGGGAAAAATGTCCCTTACATTGGGGGGGTCAGTGGGAAGAATGTCCCTTACATTGGTGATCAGTGGGGAAGAATGTCCCTTACATTGGGGGTCAGTGGGAAGAATGTCCATTACATTGGGGGTCAGTGGGAAGAATGTCCCTTACATTGGTGATCAGTGGGAAGAATGTCGCTTACATTGGTGATCAGTGGGAAGAATGTCCCTTACATTGGTGATCAGTGGGAAGAATGTCCCTTACATTGGTGATCAGTGGGAAGAATGTCCCTTACATTTGGGGTCAGTGGGAAGAATGCCCCTTACATTGGGGGTCAGTGGGAAGAATGTCCCTTACATTGGGGTCAGTGAGAAGAATGTCCCTTACATTGGTGGCCAGTGGGAAGAATGTCCCTTACATTGGGGATCAGTGGGAAGAATGCCCTTTACATTGGGGGTCAGTGGGAAGAAAAGCCCCTTACATTGGTGATCAGTGGAAAGAATGTCCCTTACATTGGGGGGTCAGTGGGAAGAATGTCCCTTACATTGGGGGGGTCAGTTAGAAGAATGCCCCTTACATTGGTGATCAGTGGGAAGAATGTCCCTTACATTGGTGGTCAGTGGGAAGAATGTCCCTTACATTGGTGATCAGTGGGAAGAATGTCCATTACATTAGGGGTCAGTGGGAAGAATGTCCCTTACATTTGGGGTCAGTGGGAAGAATGCCCCCTTACATTGGGGGGTCAGTGGGAAGAATGCCCCTTACATTGGGGGTCAGTGGGAAGAAAGCCCCTTACATTGGGGGTCAGTGGAAGAATATCCCTTACATTGGGGGTCAGTGGGAAGAATGTCCCTTACATTGGTGGTCAGTGGGAAGAATGTCCCTTACATTGGTGGTCAGTGGGAAGAATGTCCCTTACATTGGGGGTCAGTGGGAAGAAAGCCCCTTACATTGGAGGTCAGTGGGAAGAATGTCCCTTACATTGGGGGTCGGTGGGAAGAATGTCCCTTACATTGGGGGTCAGTGGAAGAATGTCCCTTACATTGGGGGTCGGTGGGAAGAATGTCCCTTACATTGGGGGTCAGTGGGAAGAATGTCCCTTACATTGGGGGTCGGTGGGAAGAATGTCCCTTACATTGGTGGTCAGTGGGAAGAATGTCCCTTACATTGGTGATCAGTGGGAAGAATGTCCCTTACATTGGGGGTCAGTGGGAAGAATGTCCCTTACATTGGGGGGTCAGTGGGAAGAATGTCCCTTACATTGGGGTCAGTGGGAAGAATGTCCCTTACATTGGTGATCAGTGGGAAGAATGTCCCTTACATTGGGGGGTCAGTGGGAAGAATGTCCCTTACATTGGGGGGTCAGTGGGAAGAATGTCCCTTACATTGGGGGTCAGTTAGAAGAATGCCCCTTACATTGGTGATCAGTGGGGAAGAATGTCCCTTACATTGGGGGTCAGTGGGAAGAATGTCCCTTACATTGGTGGTCAGTGGGAAGAATGTCCCTTACATTGGGGGTCAGTGGGAAGAATGTCCCTCACATTGGTGGTCAGTGCTCCTTACACTGGTGATCATGGAAGGGGAAGGTGAGTATAAATGAGGGCTAAAGGGGCCGGTAAGCAGACCCAATACTTGGGGGTAAAGCCCAGGTCCCTTTTATGAGGAATATAGGTTACTTGGCACCTCACAATCTGGCCGATGGCACCACCAGATCAATGTTTACGGCGTCTTCCTGAGTAACATAAAAGTATAAAACCTTCTGGCAAGCCGAGAAAAAACAATAAAATATTATTTGCTAAATTGCTTTGTAGAAATAAAATAGGAATGAAAATTGTGTGACATTCATTGCCGGCTCTTTCCCGAAGCTCTGAAAATAACAATCAAGTGGCTATGAAAGCCATATCATTCCAACTATAGCATATTAATTAAATGTCGGCGGACTGAAGCTAAATTACATATCAGCTCCACATTATTGTATCACACTATTAAAGCCAACAAGCGGATGGGATTCCAGGATACACACAGCAATCTGTAATTGAACTTTACAGTTTATTTCTGACTCATAATTGTCTCTCTTAATAGGACGAGTAATGGGGTGCAGCAGCGTCTAACGTTCGATGTCAGTGTTGTCATTGCAATGACTGGCTGATCACTGGTGCGATATTTAAGCGGATATAAAAAACGCTGACAGTAGAGTGTAAGTGCCTTATAGGCAGGGATGTCCACGGATCGGCCATAACCTTCTGACCACTGACAGGTAAAGGGAATAACATGGATTATCTCATTACAATGGCACCTGAAAAAAGTGAACATGTTGTCCCTGAAGTCTATGTGGTGAAAGCAGAAAAAATGGACAAGTGTTAGGATTTGAGAGACTTTGTCAAAGGCCAAATTGTTATGTCTAGATGACGGGGTCAGAGCAACTCCAAAACTGCAGCTCTTGTGGGATGTCCCCGGTCTGCAGTGGTCAGGACTGACCAAAAGTGGTCCGAGGAAGTAGAACCGGCCAACCGCTGACATGGTCAAGGGCAGACAAGGCTCATTGATTGGGGGCAGTGGGGTTGGGGTTGAGACTCATTGATGGGGGCAGTGGGGTTGGGGGGGGAGGCTCATTGATGGAGGGGGGGGGGGGGGTGAAGGCTCATTGATGGAGGTGGGGGGAAGGCTTATTGATGGAGGTGGGGGGGGAGGCTTTCTGATGGAGGCGGGGAGGGAAGGTACATTAATGGAGGTGGGGACAGAAGGTTCATTGATGGAGGTGGGGAAGGAAGGCTCACTGATGGAGGTGGGGGGGAGGCTCATTGATGGAGGTATGGGGCTCATTGATGGCGGCAAGAAGGGAAGCTTCATTGATAGAAGTGGGGAAGGAAGGCTCATTGATAGAGGTGGGGGAGAGGGCTCATTAATGGAGGTGGGGGGAAAGAACCATTAATGGAGGTTGGGAGCAGGGGTGGACTGACAACTCATGGGGCCCCTGGGCAATAGGGGATCATGGAACCCCTGTGCCTTTGCCCAAACTCAAAAAAGCCTATGAAAAAGGTACCAGGGGCATCTCATGGGGCCCCCCACTGACCCCTGGCCCTCGGCCAGTGCCTGAGTTTCCAAATGGTCAGTCTGCCCCTGGTTGGGAGGGAAGGCTCATTGATGCAGGTGGGGAGGGAAGGTTCATTGATGGAGGTGGGGAAGGAAGGATCACTGACGAAGGTATGGGGGCTCGTTGATGGTGGCGGGGAGGGAAGGTTAGTTGATAGAGGTAGGGAGGGAAGGCTCATTGATGGAGGTGGGGGAGGGAAGGCTCATTAATGGAAGTGGGGAGGGAAGGCTCATTGATGGAGGTGGGGAGGGAGGGAAGGCTCCTTGATGGAAGTGGGGGGAAAGGCTCATTAATGGAGGTTGGGAGGGAAAGCTCATTGATGGAGGTGGGGAGGAAAGGCTCATTGATGGAGGTGGGGAGAGAAGGCTCATTGATGGAGGTGGGGAGGGATGGAAGGCTCCTTGATGGAAGTGGGGGGAAAGGCTCATTAATGGAGGTTAGGAAGGAAGGCTCATTAATGGAGGTTGGGAGAGAAGGCTCATTGATGGAGGTGGGGAGGGAGGGAAGGCTCATTGATGGAGGTGGGGAGGGAAGGCTCATTGATGACTAGACGACAGTACACACAGAGCATTGCAGTTTGTTGTGTAGCAGACCAGTCAGGGTGCCCATGCTGACATGTGTCCGCAGCCAAAAGTGCCTACAATGGGCATATGAGCATCAGAACTGGATCACAGTGCAATGGAAGAAGGCAGCCTGGTCTGATGAGTCATGTAGATGGTCAAGTGTGTGTGCATCACTTACCTGTGGAGGACATGGCAGCAGGGTGCAGTATGGGAACAAAGCGGGCCGTCAGAACAAGTGATCTGCTACTGATGGCTTGGTACCAGATACCACTGAATACCTTAAGAGGTTTAGTGGAATCCATCTCTCGATGGATCAGATTTGCTTTGGCAGGAGGGGGATCAACTCAATATTAGGTGGGGGGTCAAAATGTTATGGCTGATCACTGTATTTGTTAGTTGACAGCTCATTTTGCTGATTGTAGACACGGTTCTTCACTAGAGATGAGCGAATCGAACTTGGCGAAGTGGAATTCGTTTCGAATATTAGGAAAAATTCGATTTGCATCGAATCCGAATTTTAGCAAACTTCGGATGCACGAATCGAATTTTCCCCGATCAGCCGGCAAAAGTGTCACTGCAGAGAGCTCCGCTATTTCTGACAGTTCTCTGACAGTTCCTTCACATTTACAGCGGTTGAAACATTGTATCTATTTGTTTCCATTTAGGATACAGATGTTTTTTATTCGGAAATAAATAGATACAATGTTTCAACCGCTGTAAATGTGAAGGAACTGTCAGAGAACTGTCAGAAATAGCGGAGCTCTCTGCAGATACACTTTTTGCTGTACTGGAATTCTTCTTCTTTTCATTCTTCATTCTTCTTCTTCATTTCTTCTTCTTCTTCTTCTTTTCATTCTTCTTTTCATTCTTCTTCTTCTTCTTTTCATTCATTCTTCTTTTCATTCTTCTTCTTCTTCTTTTCATTCTTCTTCTTCTTCTTCTTTTCATTCTTCTTTTCATTCTTCTTCTTTTCATTCTTCTTCTTCTTCTTTTCATTCTTCTTCTTTTCATTCTTCTTCTTCTTCTTCTTTTCATTCTTCTTCCTCTTCTTTTCATTCTTCTTCTTTTCATTCTTCTTTTCATTCTTCTCATTCTTCTTTTAATTCTTCTTTTCATTCTTCTTCTCATTCTTCTTTTCATTCTTCTTCTTCTTCTTTTCATTCTTCTACTTATTTTCATTCTTCTTTTCATTCTTCTTCTTCTTCTTTTCATTCTTCTTCTTCTTCTTTTCATTCTTCTTTTCATTCTTCTTTTCATTCTTCTTCTTCTTCTTTTCATTCTTCTTCTTCTTCTTTTCATTCTTCTTCTTCTTCTTCTTCTTCTCTTCTTTTCATTCTTCTTTTCATTCTTCTTCTTCTTTTCATTCTTCTTCTTCTTCTTTTCATTCTTCTTCTTCTTCTTTTCATTCTTCTTTTCATTCTTCTTTTCATTCTTCTTCTTCTTCTTTTCATTCTTCTTCTTCTTCTTTTTCATTCTTCTTTTCATTCTTCTTCTTCTTTTCATTCTTCTTCTTTTCATTCTTCTTTTCATTCTTCTTCTTTTCATTCTTCTTCTTCTTTTCATTCTTCTTTTCATTCTTCTTCTTCTTCTTCTTTTCATTCTTCTCATTCTTCTTTTCATTCTTCTTTTCATTATTCTCATTCTTCTTTTCATTCTTCTTTTCATTCTTCTTCTCATTCTTCTTTTCATTCTTCTTCTTCTTCTTTTCATTCTTCTTCTTCTTTTCATTCTTCTTCTTCTTTTTTTCATTCTTCTTTTCATTCTTCTTCTTCTTTTCATTCTTCTTCTTCTTCTTTTCATTCTTCTTCTTCTTCTTTTCATTCTTCTTCTTTTCATTCTTCTTTTCATTCTTCTTCTTCTTCTTCTTCTCATTCTTCTTCTTCTTCTTTTTCATTCTTCTTCTTCTTCTTTTCATTCTTCTTTTCATTCTTCTCATTCTTCTTTTCATTTTTCTTTTCATTCTTCTTCTCATTCTTCTTTTCATTCTTCTTCTTCTTCTTTTCATTCTTCTTCTTCTTCTTCTACTTCTTCTTCTTCTTCGTCGTGCCCCGTGACTGCCCAAATGAGTGAAGTGTGCGGTGATTCTAAGATCGACGGCACTCATCTGCATGTCATACTGACTGACAGTATTATTTCTCTTCTTTTCATTCTTCTTCTTTTCATTCTTCTTCTTCTTCTTCTTCTTTTCATTCTTCTTCTTCTTCTTTTCATTCTTCTTCTTTTCATTCTTCTTTTCATTCTTCTCATTCTTCTTTTAATTCTTCTTTTCATTCTTCTTCTCATTCTTCTTTTCATTCTTCTTCTTCTTTTCATTCTTCTTCTTAT